CTGTTTGGTAGTGGAGATTAACAATTTGTACATGTGTAGAAACAGCTACTTCCACATTGTTAACAATGACTATACTCATTGGGAGGTGTACACTATTGCTGGAAGTTCAAATCCCACCATTAACAGTCAGGGGAACAGATATCTTGCCCCTGTCAACCATTTTGCTAAAGAGGTTAGTTCTACCCTTTTATTAAGTTGTTACCTCAATCATATACAAGTAACACTATGTGACATCCTAAATTACTTTTGATGAATATGGTATTGCTCCAAGCAGTTAATGGATTGACAGGTAACAAGGAGAGTTGTCATTGGTAGTAAGATTTGGAGGCACTGGAATTGGAGATCGGAAGGTGACCTTATGCTAAATGGTGCTTATTATACACCAATTGGGCGTGGAGCAGTAGCCAACTATGCCAGAGATATGCTCCTAAGGTCCTTAGTAAGGTTAGCTAAGGTCCTCAGTAGGGGCACATTACTCCTAAGGTCCTCAGTAAGGGGTAAGGGCAAATTGCTCCTAAGGTCCTCAGTAACATAGTGTCAAAGATACGTTAGAATGCAAGGCTCTATCACTGTCCATATACCATGGAACTGCAGACCATCTATAGAATTAGCAGGGCTCTATCATGACTCTTTCCCACACACAGCCTTTCCTACAATCCACTATATTATCATCATCATTTCACCCTCCCATTCTACACTGCAGATTGTGAATTACCACATAACAAGAAATGAAAAAAAGGCACCACACATAAGAAATAAAAGAAATTGCACAAATTAGGGATAAAAACAAAAACCCAAATCAAGAAAAAGCAGAAAACGATCATTTTCATTACAAAAGAATTCATCTAACCTGTCCAAACTCAAAAGGAATTTCTTACCTCAAAATTTCCTTTGCCAAAATTGAAATTTTCTCCAAATCTCAAACTCACAAGTCATGCGGACAGTTACCCATTGCATATACGTATACTCTACAGCAGTATAACCATTAGCAGATGAATATTGAATACCCATAGGCAATAGAAATATTAAAAAACTCACCTACCGCTTGCGGACTTGAGCTGTCGTCGATGAACGTGCGCTGCTGCTAGGCCTGGTTCTATGGACTATGGTTCAAACTTCACACCAATCCACCACTAGCATCAACAGGGGACGTGAATGGACAGTGGATGCAATGGTCGGAAAAATAGGTGGACGTACGTGGACGTTCGGAAGAATCGGTTGGAGAATTGGATGCAGGGACTTTTCAATTCTCGCGTTTGGTTTGTAATAGGTTGGGAAGAATAGGAATTGGATTAGAACGGCTTCTAATGGGCCAACTAACATGGGCCACTTGTTATGGCATACTACAGCAAATTTTTTATTCGGACGGATTTATGAAGGCATGCACATGCACGCCGTAAACACTTCAGATGGATTTTTTTCCCCGGCGTGCACACACGAATGGCGTAAATACTTTATGGGGGCGTGAAGTCAATTGTTACAGCATGCACATATAAACGCCGTAAATATTTTTTACGGCGTTCAGCAAACGCATGCCGTAAAAGGTCTCTTTTTACGGCGTGCAATATACTTTGTGCAATTGATCTTTTACGGCACGCATTTTTTGCACGCCGTAAAAAGAGACTTTTTACGGCACGCGTCAATTGCATGCCGTAAACGTATGCCGTAAAAAGCTATTTTTGTTGTAGTGATAATTGCATAAAATGTACTTATCAAAGTCTGTTTGATTTTGCTGAAAATCAGATTTCTTGTAAATTTTTATAAATAATGCTGAAATGTGAAAAGTTGATAAAAGTTATGAATTATATGAAATATGTCGTTAAAATTAATTTTAAAAAATGGAGAACAAACATCAGCTGAATGAGGTAGGTAGTATCATATTATAAACGACAAAGGTTTCCCAATCACGTATTAATAAAAAAATTCGCCCACTGAAGATATAAATATAATGTCACAATACAAATTTTAAATTTTTTTAGACAAAGCTAAAAAGGTGAATACACATCGTCTTTTTTGTTGTTTTACATGGCTAATTGGCAGAATGTGACAGATTTCCAATAAGGATCTATTGTGATCCTCCATTTTCATATCATATGTAGCACAAGTTGTCGAGGACTGAAAAGGCAACGATAGACATTTTAGTGGAGATGGAGACTAATGGCTAGGCCACCAATTATTTAACATCGGACGAGTCAAACGTTGTACAAGTTCTAAATGAGTCATGCTACACTTATGGGGATTACATCACAAATTTTTTGAAGATAGAGTTGACAATTTTTTATTGGTAATTAGAAAAAAAAATGCTGCCAATCAGGTTCTACGTTGTAAAAATTATGTGAAAACAAACCCTGTACACATAGCTTTTCCTAAATATTAAATTCATGTCTGGTGTGGCAAGTCCGATATTAACTTTTAACCGTCGGTTGAAACATTAACTTGGATATCAGATGCTCTAGCCGGGTTCGATAATTATACTCATATGGATTAATTCTAGCAATGATTACTAAAGTCATTGAATAGGAGTCTCTCAACACTAATTGTCACTTGATTAAAAATATTAACTTAAAATGTAAAATCATACTACCTCCGTCCAATGTCAATTATGAGATTTTCAGAACTTGAAGTGAACTAAACCTTGCTTTGGTTTCTATCAAATATTTAGCTTCAAAAAATAATCAATTCCAAACCTTCGAGATTTGCGCATTCTTCTCACCCTTTTACGGAATCCTTTCGCCAAGAATTTTAAGGTGATAGATGGCATTACCTTAAATGTGATATCACATCAAGAATTATTTGCAAATGAAGAGATGTCAAAGAGGCTTATGCTCAATGAATCGGCTGATACGAATCGCGAGGCATTTACTTATCGAGCGGTTCATAATAAAATTCTCAAAAATTGAGATATAACGCCATGAACTCTAAATACTACTATTGATTAAGAAAGAACTCACTCCAATCCACCCCTTATATTTACATGTACAAATTTATTCCCAATTCTAGAGCTTAAGTAACTAGCAAACAAATTCTAAAGAACTCCCGAAAATGATAATTTAGTGCAGATTTGGGAACTTTAATAAATAAGCAATTTGTAGAAATAATGACTTAATTTCCTAATTTAACCTCAGAAAGGTACAACCTACCATCTGAGGGCATTCTTATGATGTATTGTGCTATGTGTATACAATGGAGTACACAAAATTTTACACCCCACTCATATGGAAGGGGCCCACACACAATAAAATATTTGTGGGCTCCCTTCCATGTGAGAGCGGTGTAAAACTTTGAGTACACGATAAGGTGTACACATATCATTTTCCTTCTTAGGATATTTACTCCATATGCCATGAAAAAAGTAAAGGTCCGTTTGATTGCAAGTGTAGAATTTGAGTGGAAAGAAAAGGAATTCTAAGGAATTGAATTGCCTAGAATTATTTTCATGAGAATTCTCAATTAATTGTGTTTGATTAGTATAATTTTTTGATGCAGGAGGGTTTGAGTCAGATGTTGAGTTGTCAG